CACCGCACACTCTACTAGGAGCGCAGCAGCTTCTGCAGCCTGGGCGACCCAGGCATCTATTCTTGACATTTGCAGAGCGGCCACGTTGGCCTCCCCCACAGCCTTCATTAAAAACTATAAAATTGACACCTTTGCCTCAGGCGAAGCCTCCTTTGGCAGAAGAGTATTACAAAGAGTGGCTGAAATGCCAGAGGCTCCAGCGCTTCCCCACCCTGGGACTCAATAGCTTGGCAGTGCACTGGAGAAAGACCGTTGGCTTCCCTGAATGGTCGTTCTCGGGGCACTGCGAGGAGAGTCCAAACCTGCCCAGGGTGTGGTTTTTCTCTTACACGATGTGACTGTATTGACTGTAACTGATTACAGGACTGTCTCCTTCGTTTTCAAACTGAGCATGCAGAGGCAAAGGGAGGCGTGGTCAACAGAAAAACATCACTCAGTCCATGGGCAGATAGGCTGTGTTAACCCACTATTGGACTCTCTTCGCAGTGCCCCGAGAATGACCGTTCAGGTAACCCAACGGTCTTTTATCAAGCTGTAGCATGAGCCCAAGAAGTCTCCCTAATTACACATCAGTTCCATCTGGGGGAATGCAACCCCATTCAGAGTCAAATGTGACATGCCACTAGACTTAGAAGCCAAAACCCAGCACTATTTGGGTTTTCACGACTCTCTTCATGACTCTCTATGACTGAAAACCAACTTCCCTGTCAATAGCTTTTCCTAAAAAAGGGAAGATTGGAGACTGGATCAAACTGTCTAAAATAGTTGCGACCAAGAATGGCCTCTTGAGAAAAAGTTACATCCCCACCTCCTTCAAAGTAGGCTGTACCATCCCATCCTGCAAAAAAGTATTAACCACCATTCGGACCCAACTACATGCCACCATTCAACCAATTAGGAAGGGCATGGGTCCAGAACACAAATGATCAAGCTTACACCCACAAGGTCCCTGTTCACCTCTTTAGAACCCGCTAACTCTTTCCAAATAACAGACCTCCAACGTGCTCTGGTCACTTTCAAAGGATTTGTCCTTTGTCAGTTGGAGCTATAGTCCAACTGAAGTGAAGTTGAGTAGCTTTCTCTAGCAGATGTTGAGAATATTTCTCACAGCAGCCTTGTAACAGTTCCATTGGCTCCTCTTTATCCAGGAGGAACCCGGACATGTAATCACTGATTTATGCTGCTTTTATGCTATTTGGGTAATAATATTTTTAAAATGTGTTTGATTATTGTGAGCTGTCAGCATCTTCCAATCAGAGGAGCTGACAAATGTTTAAAAAATAAATGTTTAATATTATGCCTACAAAACCTGTTTGACTTTTTATTTCCATGATCATTGCAGCAGCTTATTGTATCTGTTCTCACTTTTATACCAATGTTATTCTTTGGCTGCTTCAGGCTCTCATATCTGTGTCTCCTGATGAGGAAACCTATGATGAAGAAGACTGTGCTTTTTGTTTGGAGATGCTTTTGAGGATTGTGCTGGAAAATAGGTGAGCCATATAGATGCCATTTCACCTTTTAATATGGCAAAAAATGTTGAGAACTTTCAATTTTACTTGAAGAACTCCAGTTGTCAGGTTGAAAAATATCCCCCCAGGGAAAAGGGCGGCATACAAATAAAGCCCTAACAGCAATGAAATTTGATTATTTCATTCTTAATGCCATGGAGAAAATCTATTTTGTTACCAAGAGTCAAAGGCACATAATGAGGAAACTGTGATAGTGAGATTTTCATATCAAATTCTGCTTGATCTCCTTCAATTTATCCCCATATGTGATCCATTTTTTAGTGTGAAGCTGAATGGAAAGTGATCTATTTTCACTATTTACTGGTACTTCTTTATTTACAATTGTAATTGAGTCCAGAATTATGTTTGTAAGTCATGTCAGTTTTAAGTGGTAAACCTCATGACCACACTGGATTTTACAATCTTTTGCAGCAGTTGATAAGTGTCTTTTTTGCAGCAGTCATTATTTGCAATGGGTATTTTTTGCTAGAAAGTTGAAATAAATGCTGGTTTCCAGCAAAAACTTACAAATAGCTGTCATAGGACTACAGGACGCTGTAAACAGCCATAAATAAGTGCATTCAGCATTCAAAATGTGATTGTGTGACTGTAGACAACTGTTGGAACTTTAAGTCTGCTCATAAGTAGCCCTGGGGAGGTTTGTCGTAACTTCAAATGGCCACCAAGCAACTTGTCGTAAGTTGAGGACTACCTGTATAAAATTAGCAACAAGAGTCACCACATAAAATGACAACATAGGCTAATTTCCACTTAGAAAACAATCATAAGTGCAGATAGTTTAGGAGGATTACTTTTGATTAATTGATTGATTGTCTTGAGAGCCAAGTCATAGAATTTTAAAAATCCATTACACTATTAGTATATGACTAATTATGTGTATGTCTGTGTGTATCTCTCTCAGATATATACATTTATACGTATTAATTATCTACTGTCCTTTATACGCATGCACACATATGCAAACACATGCTCATGTTCCCCATATAAAAGGGGAAAACCCTGTAAAGTAAGCATTTCATTGAAGGGCCAAAACTGTTCCTACAAGCCAAAGATTTAAATGAAAATTTCTCTACTGATGCATCTGAGTATTGGTCATTTAATAAAAATACATCAAATATCTCATGAGTGAAATTTATCAAACTAAAGGCCAAGCGTATTAGTTCTAATCATCACAGTGTGTAACTAATAACAATACTGGCATTGTATTAACAAGCAAGAGAAAAAGCCCTTCTTTATCAACCAACTGATAACATCTCTCAAGAAGAATTTCTAGCAGCAGATACTATCTCTTTTATTGATAAGGAACTGAATTTAATTAATGATAAATTGAGCTTTCTTTAAAGTCTGCTATATCTATCCAAAAGTAACCATATAATAACTAAGAAAATTAACATCAAACATACCCCTACACATAGTTCAAAAAATATTTAGTACTTTCTTCAAACATCTCAATTTATACTTACCATATAAGTGGAGTGGGGCTGTGACCACCCGCAATGACATTTGCACGAGTGGAGTCACGAGCACCTGCAACACTTGTGCAAGAGCCTGAATGAGTGGGGCCGCAAGCACCCACAACATTCATGATAATGCTTGCAAGTGGGGCTACGTGCATGAACATGCATTTGCATCAACCAGCTACTTATGTGGCCCGGCGGCCAATAGGCCATGGTCCAGTAGCCAGCCATGGCCCACAGGTTGGGCGCCCCTAGATTAGTGGACCCTAATTTTGGCTACATTATTTATTTGATTTACCTTGCCTTTATTTGGGGGGCAGTGTACATAATGTTTCCTCCTATTTCTCCTGCAGTAGCAACCCTGTGAGATGAGTTGGGCTAAGAGTGGCTGTTCCAAAATCACCTAGCCAGCTTCTGTGCTTTAATGGAAGACCAGAACTTACAGTCCCCTAGTTAAGGCCAGCACTTTAACCAAATTGGCTGTGAATAAATAATTCACATACATTGATCACAAATTCCAACTATCAACTGCCTGGAATAAAGCCCGTGTTTTGGTTTATCTTTTCCCCACAATACTCTTTTTCTTTCCCTTTCTTTATAGGGATCGTGTGACTTTCGTTTGGCAGGCAATGCGAGATCATCTTTACCATTTATGTATTAATGCTATGGAATACTGTTGTCTAGTGGAAAGAGCAGTAGTGGGTCTATTGAGACTGGCAATCCGACTTCTGCGCAGAGAAGAAATAAGTGCCCAGGTAAATACAGTTCTGGGTGATATGTCAGTTTTCTGAAGGGACTAATTTCATTGTGTCTCTTTGTATTAGTTACTGGGAATGTTCCAATGCTAAAAGCATCATTGGTCCATATGTTAAAGGGTAGAATTCCTGTCTTTCCTTTTGGTTTTTGGTTTTGACCACCACACGAAATGTTTCTAGAATTTTTCCATGTTCTTTCAGACATCTGTTGGACATATTCACATATATTCTCTCCCTCCCTTCCTCCCCCTCTCTTCATCTCTCCATCTCTCTCTCTCCCAGTTTGAGATTTTCATTCAGATTTTACTCCTTTTTTTATCTTATCAAGTAGAGAGATAAGACAATCAGACTCCTTTTTCATGTTCAGAAAGTATTTATAGTTACACCTAACAAATAAGCAGAATGGCTCACTCTCTTGGATTTGGTGTTATACAGCTTAATGCACCTATCTTAAAGCAGGAGCATGACAGTAGAGCAACAAAATTGACATAAATGACCATGCTTCCTACTATACTAAAAATATATGTGAATGTGAAATGTGAATAATGCTTTCTAATCACATTACAAAATTCTGAAATACAGGAAATAACTACAGGAAATAAATACATTTGTTTTTTAGTTCCATCTTTCAAAGTCCATCGTACTGAGGGCTTTTTAGTTATGGCTATCCTGACTTTTCAGTATCAGGAGGATCTAGGACCATGATGGCGAACCTATGGCACGCGTGCCATGGGTGCCACGTGGAGCCATATTTGCTGGCACGCTAGCCGTCAACTCTGGCGTGCATGCGCGTGCCAGCCAGCTGATTTTTCACCCTTCCGGAGGCCTGGGGAAGGCCGCTTTTTTCCCTCCCCAGGCTTCAGGGAAGCATCCGGAGGCTGGAGAGGGCAAAAAACAGCCCCAACGGGCCAAGCGGAAGGTCATTCCGAAACTTCTGGTTGGGCCATTGGGCCTGTTTTTCGCCCTCCCCAACTGTGAGTCAGCTCCCTTCAGAACCCCACTGCTCCAGATGCTCAATTTAAATATCTTAACAGGGCTGCGGTGGGTTGGCTGAGGCGGGGGGTGGGGGTGGGGCCACAGTGAAATGGCCACAGCAATGTGGCCATGACTAGTTCTCCCATTCCATATCAGCATATTACTTTCTAGAATAACAAAGACTGTGGGTTTTGAAAAAGTTCTACTCCTTCTTTATTAGGGGCTCAGGGTTGCCAATTATTAATGTTTCCTATGGAAAAAGTAACCAGATTCTTTCCATATTTATTTGATGTTATGGAAGTTTTTTGAGATGAAGCCACAAGGTTGGTCAAGCAACAGATTGCCCACATAAATGTCAGAAAAGGAGATGTCATTTGCAATATCAAAGCAGTGCAACAAATGTCAGAGGTGCTTCCTTCATTTCTGACACCCACATCAAATGTATTTCATTTAAACATAAATTTTGTAAAGATTTAAAACTTTGCATTTTTAAACTCTTTATATGTAATATTGTAAATATCAGAGTCACTCTGTGAGTGAGATTGATGGCCTCCAATAAACAACCAGAGATCTAATTTATTAAAGATCTATTATTTATTACTACTTCCCTCTTTTTACTTTCTTCATGTTTCAAAAGATTTAAAGTAGGAATAAATTCAGGAGAAAAAGCTTTGTGATTTTTCACCAGGCAAGAAGATACAGTTACAAAATACAAAGTTATTCTTCCTATAATACAGACTTGAATGTGCTGTTAGCAGTTAACAAACATGAATTTGGTACTGGTATAATTTACATTTCTTGTAGTTACCGTGATTTCTCTCTGAGTAGGTGTTGCTCTCCTTGCGAATCTTGCTCATGATGAAACCCAGCATGTTAAACAGGGCAAGTCATCAGATTGCATATGGCCTTCATGAGCTTCTCAAGACTAATGCTGCCAATATTCACTCTGGAGAAGACTGGTACACACTCTTTACTCTCTTGGAATGCATTGGTTCTGGGGTGAAACCACCCCTAGCGCTGCAACCTACAAGAATAGAGAATGATACAGGTAAATTGGTCATTGGCAATGGATTTTCTTGTTGAGAAACATGCTACCAACCTGTTAAGTTAACAGTTGTTGCTTCATTCCATTTTGTTTAATTATTTAAGGAGCTCAATCAGACAGTGAGATCTATCATCCAAATGAAACCAGCCTAGATCGTGGCTATACTTCTGATTCAGAGGTATATGCAGATCACAGCAAGCAAGGTAAATTGCATCGTTCTGTCACTGATGTAGATGTGGTGAACAGTGGCTGGCTTGTGGTAAGTAATTTTGAATGTTTTGATCTCTTTATATGTATCTGAGATGAATGAATAGTAAATAATTCAGGGTTTTCACCATCTATTATTTGAAAAAATAATAGAAGGATTATGTCCCTTATTTAACCATGTTAAAAGTAATTCTATATGCACTAACTTTTTTCTAAGCCCTCAACAGTGGTTAAGGTAACACTCAGAATTATGTGTGGTAATGGCATGAACAGGGTACAAACATAGCCCATAGCTTTCCCAAATCAAGAAATAGTTTGGTTTGTTTCCAAGACAAACCAGTCCATTGGTCCTCTAGCTCATTCATTGATTTCTCTTTTTAATGTTGTGAATATAAGAAGCTACCTTATCTTGAATTATATTATTCAGTGCATCTAATTATTGCTTACATTGTCCCCAGGATTTATTTACTAATGCTTGAATGTGTGTATGAGAAACCTGCTGTGTCTACTCTTAGCTATACACATATATGCACATGAACATACACATATACACATATGAACATAAACACACAGATGCTGGCTTTTAAAGTTTTAAAAGTTGAAATATTAGAAATGTTTTACAGGAGTTATTTTAAAAAGAATTTAGTATTAGGAAGAATGCTTTGGCAGCCACTTTATAAGTAAATATGGCTGCTCAGTAAATATGATTGAAAGCCATACGAGTCTTCCAGGCTTGGAAACTCAAGTTGTGCTTCCAATTCTTAGTGCTGCCAGTGAAGCACTAGCTGAGGGAATTGGTAAATTATTTCTCTTAGCTTAAAATCCCCAGCAGATTTTAATTCCTACAGTATAGATCATCAGTAATTGTATTCCAATCAGTACTTGATCATCAGTACTTCTATTCTCAGCTAGATCCTTAGTCCCTGACTGCATTCAGTCCCATTTAAATGCTCACCAAAAGAAGGCAAATGGATCTATATTTTTGTGACTGAAGACAGCAAAAATGTGTATTATCACAGGCATCATGCCTGTGAATTAAGTAGGGTGACCTAGCTGTATTCATAGAGATCTATAGAAGGAAGAGCTTGGAGCAGAAGTCCCCAACCTTTTGGGCACCAGGGACCGGTTCTGTGAAGAGAGGTTTTACTGCAGACCGGATTGGGCATGGTTTCATCTGCTAGCTGCCTCCTATGGATGGGGCTTCATTTGTTTTGCGGCCCTGTTTCTGTGATGCCGTGGCCCAGTACCGATCCATCTGTCTCATGGGATAAAGATTGAAGAAAAATAAAATCCTACAGCAATCATTGAATTAAAAATTAAGACAAGTAAAAAAAGAAATAGAAAGTTGGTTTATTTGATCAAAGATAAAATAAGACTTTTTCACACAGTTCTCGCAACCCTTTCTGGACTTTTTGCTGGTGCAAGGATTGACAAATTGATATTTTATGAATGTTCTTATAGATCAGGGATGGGAAATGGGATGAAAAGTGATCTGTTTGTAAGCTAAAGGGTGTGAAGAGTTATTAAATTGGTTTATAGTTGTGATGAAGGTTAGAAGTTTATTTCTTTTCCTTTTTTATTATATTCATTATTTTCTTTTTCTTCTTTTTCCACCACACTTTTAGTTCTTTTTCTTTAATTCTATTACTTTCTACTATTTTTATAATTTATTTAATAAAAATTATATTTAAAAAGCACATTGACTTCAGTTAAAATATATGATTTCCTTTAAGCTTTGAATAATTTCTATTTCACAGGTTGGGAAAGATGACATAGATAATTCAACCATGGCTGGACTTTCCAGACTGGGAAATTCTCCCTTGGTGAATCAGTATAGTCTGACTGTGGGAATGGACCTGGGTCCTCATAATACCAAATCTCTCATGAAGTGTGTTGAGTCCTTATCTTTTATTGTGCGAGATGCAGCTCATGTAACCCCTGAGAACTTTGAGTTGTGCGTCAAAACAATCCGCATCTTTGTGGAAGCCAGCCTAAACGGAGGTAAGCCAGATTTCTATTAGTTTCTATAGGGCCCAAAAGCTCCAACTACTGATACTACTATTATTACTACTACTAAATGTGTATTATCATTGTCATAATTTTTTTTAAACAGCAAGGAAATATTTATATAATCTAGGTGACTTGATTTCTCATTACTATACGCCACCCAACAAAGCAGAAGAAATAGCTAAACTTTTTGCTGGCACTTTGTCATTTTGAAGACGTCTAACCCTTTAAAGTAGTTTATAGGCAATTTCTGAAAAGGAAATGCAAACACGATGTCCTTTGGAAGGCTCCAATGACAACTACAATTTCCTCATTTTCTAGTTGGCTTATCCTTTGGAGACTGCTGTCTTGGGTAGCCTCATTTAGAGAAGGCACTGTAGGGAACAGTTTGGGTGTTATCATGTCACTGTTTGCCCAGATAGGATTAAAGGAGCTGATCTATTTTTCAGTTCCCTGTTACAGTCCACCACTTTTCCCCAGAAATTATTCATTTATTTAATTGGGCTATCTTTATCTAGCTGTAGATAAAAAGGAGCAAATATCAATGTGGAAATATTGAAAATTAAAGCACCACTGTATATTGTGTTTACAGGGTGTAAATCCCAGGAGAAAAGAGGAAAAAATCATAAATATGACTCCAAATCAGCACGGTTTAAGAAGAAAGCAAAGGAAAACTCTCTGAGACACTTTAAAACCTCCAGCCAACATCAGCACCGTTCCACTAGTGAAGATGAGGATGAGGATGAGAGTGTCCCTGCCAGTTATCACACTGTATCTTTACAGGTTAGTCAAGACGTAAGTATAACCATGATTTTTTCCTCTCCCTGTGGTTTTTCTAGTGTAATATCTATACTTTAACTAGATATTCACATTGTTTTATCTTATGTGACTTTTAAAACACAAATAGTTCATAATGAGAGGGGGAAAGGGAGACAGATCTGAATCAGATTGTCAATGGGGCCTTTCCTATAATTATGAACATTATTTATTTATTACGTTTCCATCCTGCTTTCATTACTTTATAAGTAACTGCAGGTAGTAAACATAGACAACACACTTTCCTTTTCCTATTTAGACCAAGTGGGTATTTCATGCCAAAGGTGTGACTGGAACATATGATTTCCTAGTTTCTAAGACAGAACTTTAATCACTATGCCAGTTTGAATTGGATTATTAGTTAGAGAATCAATCTTCTATCCTTGAATGCTGTAAACTAAGTGTAATCGCAAATTTTGAGTGGATTTATGTGAGTGGTAATTCAGAAAAGATAACAAACTCTGTATTTCAATGGATTTTTTGAAGATGTTTAACAAGAAATAAAGAAACAAGATTGTTTGATACTTGTCGTTAGCTTGAGATTTAATGTTCATTATTACACTAGGTAACATCTGTGGTAGAAGGGAATGCAGTTTGCTTTTTTTTATATATAAATTTTTATTTTAAACACATAAGCACATCAACAGAAACAAACACATGACTTAAAAACAACATAGGAACAATAAGTTCCGTCGTATATCATACAGCAGTTCCTAAATGGTTTCTTTGCAGTTAGTGTTTTCCCTTCTATACATTTCTATCTTGCGTTCATAATCTCCTTATTCGTTATCC